AAATAATGTTGATTCAGGTTTTATAACAGATAAAACCTGATTCAGGTTATATAACAGACTCTGTTAAGATTTTTTATAACAGACCCTGTTTAGAATTCATCTTCTTTTTTTTTACAACCAGTGATTGGCCCTTTTAATTGTCCATAATCAGTATTTCTTGCTTGTTGTTACAACTAACTTTTAACCTCATGCTAAGGCCTCATAGAGGTGTTCTGAGGACCTATAATTAGTATTCAAATCAGAATCACTTCTTATCTGAACCTAGCATACCTGCATAAATTATTCTTTACAATAAAACATGAGACAGACCTGATAAAAATTAGGCCAAAGTGCATTTTGTGATTGATGAAGTCTGTATTTAGCAAATCTCATCATAAAGGCTTGTAGATCTGCCTGAATTGTGAGGCATGAGCTTGTAATTCTGCTTCTTATGACTCCTTTTATGCAGTTGTTGTGTAATTATTATAATTCACACCAGTTACACTAAAAACCAGCGTGACCTAGGTAGCCTCATTACTCCCCACTTCATTTGTTTTCATTATGCATTCATTTTACATTCATTTTGAGTGTTCATGTTTTTGTGTTCATCACTTTGAATGCAGACTGTCAGCATTTGTGTATTTCAGTACCATTCAGTACATGTTTTCCTCAGATTCTGCAGAAGGAAGATGCCATTGAGTGGCCAGGAACTCTTGCTATTGTACATTCCTACATCTCTTACAAAGCAGGTAAGGGCTTTTAAATACTAATGCTGTGATGGTAAACTTGCACAGAATGATGATTTGAGATCGCTTTTAAAAATATCCTGAGTTTGGAGTTTAAAAGGGAAAAAAGTCTCCTATAATGAGGCTCTTATGAAATGCACCAGTAAATTTCTGATCTGTGGGAAAAACTGTCCTAGAATTATAGAACAAAGCCGTAACCACCCACTTTTTCTGCAGTCTTGCTTCTGGAAGTAATTTCCTTTTATTTTATTCATTCAACTCTGAGATGAATCACAACATTACAAACTTTTTTGACAATTAGGAAAATATACCAAAAGTTCTAGACGGTGCACTTTTTATGAGAGAATTATCTAAAGTAGTTTGAAGCACTTAGAACTGTGGTCAAATCAGAACAACAGTGCCTTATCGAATGATACAAATAGAGAACATTTAATGAGAAGTACAGTTTACCACCTGGAATAATTTGGCAATTCAATTTTTCCATTAATCATGTTTTGCATGAATTCAATCCATTTTAACAGTCCAGTGTAAAAAGGGCAGGCTGGTTCAATAAAAAAGCAGTAGGTGTCACTTATGGAAGGGCAGAAAGAGAGTAATAAACAAAACACAATGTTAGTGTGGTATTTGTATATAAGTATTCTGATACACCCTATTTATGTTTATTTAATTATTAATACATGTTTTAAAACATGTATGTTTATTCCAAATGCTACAATTAACATTTGTTATAATTGCCTTTAATTCAGTGGTTCTCAATTCCGGTCCCTGTGTCTTGTGTTTGACACAAGGATCAGTTCTTGGATCTCTCTGTAAATGAGTGGATGATCTGAATCAGGGTGTGTTAAGTAATGCTGAGTTCAGACTACATGATTTTCAAAGTGGTTTTCACACTGCATGACTATCTGGGACAGCATTTCGTTGCTGATGTGTCTACATTATGCACTTCTCATTATGTAGTTAATAACAAATGATGGACTACGTGGCATTTTTATGTCACTTTTTGCGTGTGTTTGGTTGTGAGACACAGTTTAGACAAAGTTGTCGGCGATTTTTCCTATTGTAAAGTCACGCGGTGTGAATCCCCTGTGGACTCATAATTGTATAATGACAGGAGTGTGATCTAGTTCTTCTGTTTTAAGATGGTTTACAAGGATATGCCTTGTATCCTCACAATTCAAAATGCTTAAAAAATATTAACTTACTTTTATTTTTGTTACTTTTAGCATTCAAAATTTGCCACAGGTTTTCTGTGAGGATTGGGTTTATGACTAGGGGTAGGGGCTATATAATAAACAGTTTTTAGTAGGGATGCTCAGTTCGATGTGCTGAAGATTGATATCGGCCGATAATCACATTTCATGACTCGATCGGTACTTAAAAATCTGGCCGAACTCATGAACCGATCACAGGAGTTTGTTTATGAGTTTACAACCAGAGGAAGACACACAAGTGCTCCAGTATATTATACTTAGCCTAAAGCCACCTTTCCACTGCCTAGGATATTCAGAAATGACTTTCGAAATACGCCCCCTTGTGGCAGTTTTCAGTTTGTCGTGCACCATGGGAGTGAAGCTGTTCTTGCAGTGTCTGAAATAAAGGAGTGCAAAACCAAGAGTCTTAATTCTCTGTGCGCTCACCATATTAAAATGAATGAGTACTAGAAACTCATAGGCCACTAGAAATTTGGGAGGGAATGTGGAGACAACAAAAAAATAATATTTTTTATTACTCTTTTATGAATAGAAGTGTTTTTTTTTAAAATAGACTTTTTTCTGATTAAAAAAAACAAAAACAAAAAAAAAACCTTCTATTTCTCAACTTGAACGCACAGTCTTGCTTAGAAAACACTGGAATACATCACATCCGGTCGGCCTGTCCCAAACGGTCTAGTCGCTGGTGTTCAAATATTTCAGCAAATCGGATGCAAATTTTTAACATACGGAGATGATCAGAACACCACGCAGCTCCCAGACTACTCCCCATTGGAAATTAATAATTTCCAGTCTGTTACTTGTCGTTATTCGTGTGCAGTGGAAAGGCAGCTTAAGCCGAAGTAAAATGAACCAATCAATTATTGCTGTTTCTGGCCATGACATATTTACACCTAAATAGCATCCTTTATTTCTTCTTTTAGGTAAGACGAGATCTTCACTTAAGGTTCATACTTAGTTGGAAAATGTGCTTAATGCATTATAAACCTTGAAGCATCAGAATCGGTACTCTGTATCGGCTAATCACCATGACAAGGAATTGGTACTCAGTATCAGCTGCTAAAATCCTGACAGGAGCATCCCTAGTTTTTACAGTATAAATTGCAATATGCCTATGGCGAGTCTCCATAAACCATATACAAGTGTGTGTGTGTGTGTGTTTGTGCGCGCAATGCCATGGTATAGCGTAAGTCTTAATATCCCCAGAGCTCGTAGTGCATCTGTTTAGACAACTTTCCACAGAATTGTTAAATCAATTTCTCTATTGGGAAAATGAATGGGGTTTGTCTAACTTGTGCATTGAGATTCACACGTACACACATTTCCCTGCAGCTAAAGAGGGAGAAAAGGATCGACTGAAGAGATGGAGTGCAGAACTGCGTCAGGAGAGAGAAACGCTAGAACACAGAGTCGGACAGCTCAGCAACTCCATAACGGTGAGAGAAGTTCATATCATCCACTATTCATCTGCGCAGTGAGTCATACCACTGAAATTACAAATGTAACTGTGCTGCATTAATCCGCCAGAGTTCATTTATTATCCCAGAAGGCCACTATTCCATAACTATATAATGATGAGATTTTGGTCATATGAGTCAGCAGTACTATGTCTTCTCTCCCTTCACAGAAATGTATGGACAGCAAGAATAACGTACTGGCCCAGCAGAGAGACATGGAGGATTCACTCGACAAAATAAGAGGCCTGGTGCATCTGATCAGAGGAATCCAGCTGTCTCCTTTCATCTTGGCTAATGGAGAAATGTCCCACATTGGAGCTTCCGAAGCCAGCAGCTCCACTACAGACACAAACAACAACACAAATACCACAACAAGCTCCTCGGGGGCTACGGTGATAGTCAGAACCCTCTCAAACACTAGCGAAACCTTAAACCAGACCGGCGTGAGTAATAACACGGAAGCTACAAGCGCAAAGTGCGACGAAGGCAGCGAGGAGAGCACACAAATCAACAGCACGGCCAGAATCAGGAGCGAACCCACAAATACAAACGCAGCAGCCTTCAGCAATAACAGCAGCAGCAACCTGGCGGTTCTCAGTTCCAACGGAACCGTATCCGCAGGGGAGGAGAACACGAAAAAACACAAAAACAACAGTGACCTCAGCGTCATCCCACAGGCCCTCCTCGGCCCCATCGTACCCCTCACAGAAGTGACGGAGGGCGTCAAATAGCGTCGAACGCAGTTGGGAGCCTAAAGCGTGCCAGTTAACAGTGTTGTTGTTTTGTGTCGTCGTTTCATCTCTTGTATCTATGAGGGAAAGAAAATCCATAGTGCCATTTACTACATGCAGGAAGAAGGTTCCTAAAGTACCAGCAATGTGTATGCTAACGTATGCACACGGAGAAGATTTCTACAAAGAATAATGATATAGAAAAGAGTAATAAAATTTAAAGATATCACACCATTGTGTGCCTGATACAGTTGCCATATAGCACCTCTGAGTGGGAAGGCTTCTGAAGGCTGGATCGGGTGAAGGTCTCGTCCTGCTAGATGAGTAGTGCAGCTTCCTATCAGGTTCCTGTAGCTCCGATCTAAGACAAACGATACGACGCGTCTGTTTTTGTCTGTGAAATGCAGCCGAGGTGCAGTCGTTTCGTCTAGTTTTCAGTTGTCACGTCTCCAGAGGAACATGGAGCGCAAAAACAGGTCTTTATCACACACACACACTGACAAGAAACACAGGTCTTCCAGGCGTTCTGCTGGAGGTTTAACTAGTATCATTTGCATTTGTCTATTTTGTGGTGTTTTTAAAGAAAAAAAAATCGAACATTTCTGTAAATATGTTTTGCTATTTTTTACACATGACCTTATTTATAATTTCCTTCTTATTAAAAAAATCCGTAGTTCTGTTCTGCCAAATAATCGATGCCACAGGGAACTGTTCTTTTACGTTACTCTGAACATTAAAATAGATATTTAAGAGTAGTAGAGTAGTATTCGTAGTGTCGGTCCTGAAGTGTCTGTGAGGTAAATTCTGACCATGCCTTATCTACTGAACAGATGTGATTTACTGAGAGCGCGGTTCTCTCTCATCCTTCTCCATTTCCACATTGATTTGATTATGTTTTTGTTTTTACCCAGACTGTAGCAGGGGTCTCATGCCTTGTCCAATGACTTACGAGGAATCATGCAGTCAGAAATATCCCATAAAACCGGTGTGCCAGTAACGTTATGCTTATGGGCCAATTTAAGGGCTTCTGTTCTGTATCGTTTTAACACACATGGAGTCACTTTACTAGGCGATAATAACACTGTTCTGAAAGCTGTCCAAAAGCACAACACAGCATGCCTAGTGCAACTACTCCACCATTGTTTCTTAGGAGCTTTGCTTCTTTTTTCTGTTTCACATTTTGCATTTCTCTATCATATCAGAGCTCTTTCTCACCACTGTGTGCTTTCCAGTGTGTGACTGAACATGAACAAGCACAGACAAACACGCCAGACCACTTCAAACACCAGAGATTCAGCCGCGGTAGCTTGAACACTGTATCATGTGCCAAGACGACACTGCTTTCATAGTGTTTAAATAAAAATAGAAAAGCACAAGAAATAATCCAGAAACACAGCGGTGTCAAACACACATGGGGTGCGTCGCTTTTGATAAAAGACAGAAATATCTCCAGTGTTTATATCTTCGTTTCAGGTTCGTGAGTGTTTTCGATCCTGAACATGCAGCTCTAGCCTGCAGTAGCCTCTGTGTATTGGTTGCCTTAAGTTCTATAGACTATGTTAGGCTGTTTCACCGTAGTGTTATGACTTGTCGGTGTCTTAGAGTGTGCTTTTTTTCTCCCCCCTTTTCGGAAACAGAACCTACTTTGTCATCCGGTGTGGTTGTGTTAGTGAGGACAGTATAGCGAATCCGACCACTACACGTTAGGAAAGTGCTTTCTGAAGTGCTTGCGTCTTCTGTCAAAACACAATATGAATTGCTGGTTTGTTTGTTCACCTTTCTAAGAACTTACTTTTGGTTAAATGATTCCATCCCAGGATGATGATCTGGGTATGTACCCCTCATTTTAATTTTATTCCATCTAGTATTCACATGTTTTGTCTGATGAAAAAATTATACTACAACATATTTTGTCACAATTGTGAAAATTCCAAAGTGACACGCAGGAAAGCTGCGTTCTGTTTGGTGGTTTATTGGTATGTCAGGTTTTCTTGTGCATTGAAAAAAAAAGAAGAAAGAAAAGGGAAAAGAGCCCTTACATAAACGCTCATCAGATGTGACATTTGCAAATGTCATCTCCCGTCTTTAGGGCCAAGAATCCTAAGGCCAGATGTGGCTAGTAGGACTGACAGTGCTTCTGTGACAGATGTTCTCTGATGAGATAGATGGGAATCTACTGTGTCTCCTCATTCATGTCCCTTACACACGAGAATTGGGTATAGTGTCCTGAAGTGTGCGAAATCTGATTGTCAGATGTTATAGTGTTTACTGAGAGCTCAGGCTTTTGTTCACGTTTTCAACGTACGCATAATTATGCTTATGAAGAGTCACATTCTTACACCTCATGCTGTTACCTCATTCAGGTTGATGAAACCCTCAAAAATAAAATCAAGGACGGATTATTGCGAGCTGAAAATATCAGTCTGTAATCTAAAGTCCTTAACTATAAATTGAGAACACATTTTACATCAATTTGTTGTATTAAAAGTGTCTAGATTCTTTCATAGTTTTTAAAAGGGATGTGTATTGCCGTTTCTGTTTCATTTTACTTTTATACATTTTGTATGTTTGTTTTTTTATTCTTATAATTAATCTTGTGTGTTGCCTGATGTCTGTTTACCTTTTCTCATAGAATTCAAATCCATGTGTAAGTTATTTGAATATATAACTTCATGAATTTTTTCTGTTGAGGACACTGGATATTACTGGAGCATTTGATCAATTTGTATTTATTTATTTTTACCATTTTTGCTAAATAAAATTGTAAATTAAATAGCCTGTTATTCCTCTGTAGATCAATTTCGCATTGATGTAATTAATAGATATGAACACTCATATCGATGGAATAGACTTTCTTATAACCCATTTGAAAACATTTACTTCAGAGTGAACTTTACACTCTTCCAGGACAGAGAACGTCTAAAAATGGCAGTCTATAATAAAAACAAAAACACCATATAATTTGTTCTGCTCCCACATGACATTTGAGTCCCAGAGAGGCACATATCAAAATGAAATTGGATCAAAAGAGCATCAAAATATCAAGTCACAAGACACAGATCATCTGCCACATGGTGCATCATCTGCCATTTTAAGCTTGACTTAATAATACTAGACAAGTTCAATTAATCAGAATGAACACGAAGCCCATAAATAGGCACGTATGACTTCTCACACATAAACTTACAGAAACAGAATGAATGTCACAGGACTCCACTTCAAAGCAGTGAAAGGGATGCAAAAAGAGATTAATGTTGAGTGTTTAAAATATATATTTTTTTTACATTTTAAAATACCAGTTTAAAGCTCAGAGGTTGACTGCTTCCATAATAGCATACTCTCACGAGTGAGTAGAAAGTAATTAGACTTTTCTGTATTTATGTGTGTAATGAGAATGCAAGCAGACCTACTACATATTCACCATTTTGCCATTATCATATTATGACCTATCTCTGCATCTTTGCTGACATTTACAAATCTCATGTGGCCTTATAAAATCGTGCACAGTACATTATAGGTCATACTTTTTCCTACATTTGATGAATATTGTACATGTATAGGCTACATTTTTCTTTTGTGACCGTTACTATGTAGTAACGAAGTATGTGAATTAGGAAAGCAGCCACTGACTCCCTACACCGTGTGAAGTTACATTGTTCTCCTCCGACATGTCAGCTTCTGGCTTTTTCTGTGGCGTATATTTAAAGTGGGACTACCTGGTTGTCCAGGCGTCTGTAAAGTCAGTCATTGTTGCTTCCACACACGGCGCCTTTTTGCTGTCTGTCAAAAATTCGTCACAAAAGGCACTTGTTCTCCTCGGAAATGTAGTCACGTCATGAAAACGGCAACATGTTGGGGCTTTCTGGTCACCACTGCATTGTTTTACTTCGAGTGAGTTTGTTTTTAAGCGCGTGCCTCATCTGCAGCATCCGCGAGCGCTTGTCCATAGCCAGCAGGTGGCGCTGAAACTCCTGACGCACTTCACGCACCAGCTGACCAAACGCAGCCTCCACAGACGAAGCGTCCTCTGCTACAGACAGCTCGAAAAAACTGCACCTGCATCACAGGTCATATCTTAAGCAGGGTCTGAAGGGGTTAACAAGCAAGGCTGGACGAATTACACATATCAAGCCTTTCAGTAAAAATACAGATGTTACTCAAGTGAAAGTGTTAAAGGGATAGTTCACCCCAAAATGAAAAGATGCTCACTTTTTGCTCAACCTCAACTGGTTCCAAACATTTATGAGTTTCCCATTTTCTGTTGAACACACTCACAAAATATATTTTGTAATATGTTAAAGCCTGTAATCACTGACTTTCATAGGAGGGTTAAGTAATGGCGTAGACCCACACGTAATCTGCGGGTGCAGAAATTGGGATCAGATTTTTAGCCTAATCATTGAGTCTATTTGCTTGTTAAAATATGTGTAAATGTATATTTATTCAGTTTTTAAATGAATTTCAGGAATATTACTGACTAATATGAAAGTGTTCATTTGATTTATTTTCAAAACAGTTAGTAAAGTAATATTTTTTGTCTTTTAATTGATATATTGGTAACACTTTATTTTGATGGTCCATTTGAGTATTAGCAGACTGCTCAATATCTGCTGATACTGCTTCTTAAACAGACATTTAAACGAATATAAGAAACTTTGGAAGTACATGTCAACCCCAACCTAACAGTCTACTTATAATGTAATGAGAATTAGTTGGCATGTAGATGCGATGTAACTTACATCAACAAATGGACCATCAAAATAAAGTGAAACCATCATGTTATAAAATAGACTTACTTTGTTTACCAGATAAGTGGATCTAATTGAATTTCCATTGTAAACATTAAATAAGTTTAAAAGCTTTTCTTTTTTTTATTTAACATATCAAAGTTTTAGTTATGATAGTCCCAAAATCAATCTGCATAAATCCACAGATTTTTTAGAAAATTCTCCATAGAAATAGCAAAAAATGTCCGCAGATTTTGTCTGGCCCTAATAATGGGTTACTATAAAAGTCAATGGTTATAGGTTTCTAACATTTCTAACACTACTTTTGTGTTCAACAGAAAAAAAAAGAAAGTCATACAGGTTTGTGTCAATTGCAGGATGAGTAAGAAGATGAGAAAGTTTTCACATTTAGGTTTTACTTGAGTCAAAGGTTCAAAAAGCTAGTATTACTGCTTGACCTTTACATGCTTGTATCAACGTAAAGTGTTTATTCATCCATTTATTTATTTGCAAGAACTTAATATTATCTAAACTTTTCAGTGACAAATACGTTTGGTATTTAATCCTTTAAGTTTGCAAACTGGTGAAAATAACAATATATTATATCATATAAAAACAGAAATTAGTAAACAAAGTGTTTAATAGGTAACAAATACAAACATACAATATAAAAACAGATATTACGACAAAACATGTCAGCATTTTAAAATTAAGTTAGATATTAAGTTAACTCAAACTAATAGGCTTAACTAAATATGATAAGCTTGTTTACAAATCAGACATGGCTATCACATCTCTGCAGTTTCTCCAGTTCAAAGTAACAAAGAACTACTGTACATGATTTTATGAAATGCATTAGAGTAAAACTATAATATGCTTTGGAATGTAGTAAAGTAGCAGCAAAATAAAAGTGCACACTCTTCCAGGACACAGAAAATCTAAAAATGGCAGTCTATAATAAAAACACAAACACCATATAATTTGTACTGCTTCTTCATGACATTTAAGTCTCACAGAGGCACATATGAAAATGAAATTGGATTTAAAAGCATTAAAAATCACAAGACACAGATAAAGTCAGAGACATAGATTATCTGACATTTTAAGCTTGACTTAATAATATTAATACTAGCTCAATATAGTTAAGTCATAAAAAAAACATTAAAGTAAAATAGCATTACTGATTATATTATAGTTATATTATAGATTCTAGATGATACATTTTAGATTGTCTTTACATATTCATTATATTTTTGGATTATGTAATTGAACTGAATTGTAATATTGAAAGCTAATATTGTTGTATGTAACTTTCCATTTCTGACACTCCAAGTTAATATTTTAAACAGTTAAATAGTATTTTTTACTAATTATAATTATATACTATTAATAACATTAACATAATACTATTAAAATATAAAACAATTACACATTTCTAGGGTTTAGCAATTATATTGTTTTAATCTATATATATATATATTATCATTTCAAGAGTACACACTTAGCTGATGACTGATTATAAAGCTTGTTTGGCATGCTGTCCGGGAAGAGAGCCCTGGGCTCATAAGATCATCGAGCCTGTAGCTCCCTCCCATTTGCAAGGCAAAAGGGGAGTTTGAGCTCAGGTAGATCTCGAGAGCTCCCCTGCTCTAGTAGCCAATGAACAGTTTTCAGTATATAGACAGTGATTGCTCTTAAGAGATTACTACTCACTAGGAGCATGTCTATGGTGCCGATTTGGATTAGTCAATTAATTTAAGTTGCATGTTTTTGGACGGCAGGAGAAAACTGGCGTACCAGGGGGAAACCCATGTGAGCACGGGGAGAATGTGTGATCTCCGCACAGAAACGTTGACTGGCTTGGTAAGGACTAGAACCAGTGAGGTTCTTGCTGTGAGGCGACAATGATAACCACCGTGCCACCCATCTAGAAAAGAAGGAGGAGTAGAGGTGGTAGGGGGAATTTTTCAAAACGAAGATGGCTGTTATATGGAACTTAAGGTATTTATAGTGGCTTAGGAATCGTTTGATTGGTGAATCATAAATTGGATAATGCAAGACCAGCCGCAAACAATCATAAGCACGTGATCCTCTTGAAATTAGTTTATAAATAAACTTCACTTAAAACTGCTGCTATCTGTGAGACAAAAGCATACTGACCTCAGATCAGAAGCCAAAGCCTGTCCCTCATCTGTCCTCACAACTCGGCCGTTCTCCATGTCACATTTATTGGCAACGACAACCGTTGGAATACCTGTAAGACACACACACACACACACACACACACACACACACACACACACACACACACACACACACACACACACACACACACACACACACAATGATGTAATGGATGCTGTAACTCTGAAGGAGAACAGACTACCATTAAAATGACAGTACCAGGTGACAGATGGTATAATAAAGGACTGCAGTGTTGTGATACTCTCTTTCCCTCTCTCTCTCTCTCTCTCTCTCTCTCTCTCTCTCTCTCTCTCTCTTTATCTCATTCCACGAATCTGTCTGTCATTTACAAACTCACACTTAAAGGCTGCAGTGTACTATATTAAGAGTTCGTGCCTGAGGTGAAATCTCTGAACTGAGACCAATTAAGGCAGCCTGAGTCACACTGATGGATAACAGCGCTATTCGCTATTCGGAGGGTCTGTACACATAAACATGACTGCTTGCGGTAGCACTAATAACAGAACAGGCTTGCCTTTTGTGCTCAGTCACTACACTGTGATGGTGATCATTCACAACAGTCTTGATTGGCCTTACCGAGCGTTTGCTTAACGTGGTCAATCAGTCTCTTCAGACGCGACACGGCCTCAAAACTGCTGCGGTCCGTCACCGAGTACATAATGAGAAACCCATCACCCCATTTAATGGAGCTCTCCAGAGAGGACGCAGCAGCTCCTACACAGTCCTGAACACAAACAGATTCACACATTTGAATAGCTTGCATGAATGTGTGCGATGGAGGTGACGCATATCTAGACGTGATCCTGAAAGCAATTCCAGAGCTGAAAGTATGTGAATTAAATCCACACACCAAGCCTCCGCCTTCTCAAATGCACTGGAAATTGTATTCTTTCAGTGTTTAGTCCATACAATAGAAGTCAATTTGAGAGCCCACAGACTGTCATTGTACTGGAAAACACAATCATGATGTGTTTCAGTATATAGACAGAAACCTTCTGTGAGAAAGGAAGCCATGCAGGTTTGGAACAACATGAGTTTGAGTAAATGGCAGAATTTGACTTTTTGGGTGAACTAACATCTGATTTATTTCATCGGATCATTATAGGATTGCACGATTTACCGGTACTATGGTAGTATCTTGATACTATGGCTCCAAATTACTAGTGGTGCCACTGTAGTTTGTAAACGGTAGTATCATCATTAACGGTCTATCTACAATAGATATTGTTGCATGTGGAAAGTCACTAAAATGCTCACACGTTTGTGCAACAACAGACCATTTTATTTTAATAATGTGTGGGGAGCCCTTTAAGGTCGTAGATTTTAAAGTTTCAAACGCACACCTGAATCTGTTCAATTCTGTTCCTGTCAATATGATTTAGTAGCTGCAACAACCACAACAATCCATTGAAAAACGACCCACATTGGTGCCAGTGTTGTAGTGGTTAGTGCGTCGACACATGCACTTGGGTGTTCACGGCGACCCGAGTTCGATTCCCGCCTCGAGGTCCTATGCTGTTTCTACCCCTCTCTCTTCTCCCCACATTTTCATGCAATACACTCTACTATCCTGTCCAATTAAAGGTGAAAACCCCAAAAAATAATTATAAAAAAAGAACAACTCACAAAGGTAAATGTTGAATTACTTTAGATTGTTACCTAATAAGACCACACAATTTTGACTACTTCATATAGCCTTATTTTGTTGGAAAAAATGCTTTTTTTGTAACAAATTTCGTTTTGGCATAATTTGCATGTTTATTTTAATGCATTTTTGGTTGGTCAGTTATCTACAAAATAAACAAAAAGAACTCATACAAATTAGGAGAAGTGAAGTGCAACTAACACTTTTTCAATAATAAGAGAAAGAAAGTAGACCTATTATAACATCTAAAGTACAGTATTTCTGACTATTTGCTTTATTATTTGAGTAGTATCGCAATACTATTTGGTATTGTGATACTTCAGCTGGTATAGTATCGTAAGATGAACTAATGGAATTGCGACAACCCCAGATCATTAGTATAATCTGAACAGGTTATGTCAGAAAAGAGAGTCATCCAAAATATCACTGCTGCACTCACACAGATGGTGCTGCTTTGTCCTGATCTTATGAATTAACAAGTGCTGCTCTACTGTGTAACACAATCAATGGCAGGCGGGCTGTTGAAGCCACTCCGCCAGCCTGAGATTCAGTAAAGCAGACATGAAAGGAATGGAATGGTTCAGAGAGTCCTGTGTCTCATCAGCCATTTGACAAGGCAAGACCATCCTTTTGTCTTTTTTTTTTGAGTCTGTGGATAAATATGCCTGTAAAACAACACAGTGGCATATGCACAGAAACAGAGAGTGTCTCTTAATGCATCAAAGCAAAAATACAACACTAAAACATACTGTGAGATGCTGTACCTTATTAACAGTGTCCAAAATCTCCAGCTCAATCGCCTCCTTGTCCACTATTTTCTGACACCGGTAGTTGACCTCTAAAATACACAAAAGGTATATGCATCATGCCTTCTGCTAAATTTGGTTGTTGTACAGTGAAGACAAAGTTATGTTTAGTCAACAGAGCATTAGTGTGCATTAGACAATAATGATAATCAATAATTACATATATTGCGATAATGAACACTTACAGTGAATGATTATTTATTATTTAAACCTTTAGAAAAATATTCAGATTGTTGTATTAGTCGTTGTATATTTAATCATATAATTTCTGTTTAACTAAGAGATTTTTTTCAACACATTTCTAAACATAATAGTTTTAATAACTCATTTCTTCTTTCTTTGCCATGATGACAGTAAATAATATTTGACTAGATGTTTTTCAAGACACTTCTATACAGCTTATAGTGACATTTAAAGGCTTAACTAGATTAATTAGGTTGACTAGGCAGGTTAGGGTAATTAGGTAATTTATTGTATAATGATGATTTGTTCTGTAGACTATTGAAAAAAAATGTAGCTTAAAGTGGCTAATAATTTTGACCTTAATATGGTTTCTTTAAAAATTAAAAAGCTGCTTTTATTCTAGCCAAAATAAAACAAATAAGACTTTCTCCAGAAGAAAAAATATTATCAGAAATACTGTGAAAATGTCCTTGCTCTAATAAACATAATTTGGGAATTATTAAAAAAAATTCCAAAGGCGAGCTAATAATTCTGATTTCAACTGTATATAATTTTATAATTATTTTGTTTTGTCGTAAATTTAATATGGATTATATTTTCAAACATTAATATAAGGGTTCCACATGATTATCTGGGCTAGGAAATTAAAAATAAGTATATTAGCATTTTGTTTGTTAACTCTGTAAAGCTCTATATATTATTCATTAATTTGACTAGTCAGTGTAATGACAACTACTAAAGCATTTATTAATACAAATAAATAATAAATAATATATTTTTAGTAAATTCCAAAATAACAAAAATTTAAAATTTTAATTGTTATGTTGAATTGAGTAAATAACTAATACAATTGTGTCAGGCCCGTAGTCAAGGGAGGTTCAGGTGGTTCGAAAGACCCACCCCTCACTAAGTCCAGAATTCATCCCATATATGAGCTCATTTGGCCTATTTTGACTGCTATGCCATCATAAATAGTGAAAATAACCCATAGAAAAAGGTTTTAGATCAAATGAAGTCCTCTGTTGGCTGCCGCTTCAGGTTTGACTTAAGTTAATCAGTTTTGGCCAGTGCACACAATTATTTTTCATGAGTTCAACACCCAGCTGTTCAAGAAAACATACAATCTGACATAAGAGAAGTCATCTTTCACTACTTTATTATATAAAATAGAGAAAGTATTTTGCAAGTAACTTTTCTTCTAAATATTGGATATTCTTAAAACAAAATATGACCAATGAAAAGATGTGAAGCACCAAAAGTGACCGATATTAAAATTAATTTGAATACTATTTTGGAAATTTTTGCTATTCACGAATTTTCAAATGTACTTTTTTTTTTTTTTTTTTGCTATGATGACTATCCGACAAGCTATTTCAGCTAAAATTGTGCTTAAAATGAACCATTAAATCTCACAATTAAATATTAGCCCAAAACAAAGCCTATAACCAAAAAAGATACACTTTTTGAGAACAAGAACCACCCCTTTCACCAGGCTGGCTATGGGCCTGTGTGTTGTATTTTTTATTAACTTAAAATAAGTAACTTAACTATAATAAGGCCATTTCCTACGGATGATTTTAATGCATTAACTAACATTTACTAATCAGACTTTATTGCAAAGTGCTACATATTGTACTTTATAATCCTTTTGCAATTAAATTAGTTTAAAACTTTTATTTACTCTGAACATGTATATACAATAACTCACTATACACTTATTTTGTTATACTACCCACTGAAGTGCACATTTTTGGAGCTTAGGTCAATATCCTGATAATGCAGAATACTGTTATAAAAGGTTCAGCAATTAACAAGAAAATATGAAACCATCATAAAACTACACTGTAAAAAATCTGTAAATTTAGTTTTCCATATTTTGTGATTCATGTTTTTTCTTCACTTATTTATGCTTTTGAATGGCATTATGGGATATTGATCTATCCTCCAAAAGCTTTTCATCTTAAAACATTTGAATAGGTGATATTGGCATTTTTAATAGTTTACAGTAGGTTGTTGTTGTAAATTACAGTACAAAAACCTAATAATACGCTGCCAATACATGTTGTTATTTTACAGACTTAGTTCTCTATATTATGTAAAATTTTAATGAAAACAATCTCTCTAAAATGTCAATAAAAGTAATTTTGTTAAACAGTAGAGTTAAATTTTTAACAAGAACGGTGGACAGATCAGAGATAAAACTCCCACAATGCAATTCACAACCGTAAATAGACAGAAAACACGCGTGAATCACAAAATACGGAACCTATTTGTAGTCAACAAATATTTTTACAGTGTAGTGTGTATGTATTTCATCATTCTTACCCCTTTTATGTTCATACTCTCCAATGAAACGCCTGGTGATGAATCTGACGCACAGAGCTGAAGTTAAGAAGAGAGAAACAGGGCAATAAGAGTCATCAAGACAAATCAATATCCATTAAACCCAGTAATCCACTGCAGTGTTACCTGTCTTGCCACAGTTATCTCTTCCCAGTACCACGAGCTTCGCCCTCAGCATCCTCCGTACAGACTCTGACATGGTCAGTGTGGACAATAGTATTTCTGAATAACAGACACTGTTGGAGACGGTATGAGACCAAATAAAATATTGTTTGTAACGGTCTGCTCTAGTTAAGCGAGTCTGTATTTCACGTTAAAGGTGATGCGGTTGAAATGAAAACAGTTAAAGTTCAAAATAGGCTATGTAAAAGAATGAAACAAAGTTCCCAAGAAATACTTACTTTGCTCCCGAAAGTTGCTAAGCAAGCAGACTGTACATCATAGCTCCAATGGAGACTCTGGCGGAGATCATGAAGCAGACTCTGCTGGTTGCGCGTCTCCGTCTGTCTGCTTTTAGTAATGACATTAGGAATAGCGCGCGCGCACCGCGGACAGCACGTCATTGTTCAGCGCGCTCTCTCTTCTTATTCCACATATTCATCACTGGGCTCGACCGAGAGACTCATTAAACAACCTGATGATTTATCGCCTTTGACAGTGGAGCCTCCGGAGCAGCAGAGACAGCCTACTCAGTCTTGCCGCCAACAAAACCATTAATTAACCCGGGCTAAAATTAAAAGCTTTATATTCTTGTCCTGATATATCGTTCACTCAGACTAAAGAGCATCAGTGGAGACCTTTGAGGACCAAACTCTTACTAGGTGAGTGTTTCTGATTAAATGAACTAAAAAGAACCTTTTGATCTGAATGGAGATGGACTTATAAATAACTAGCAGGAGGTTTGCTTTTGTTTTGTCAGCAGTTAATAGCAAGTTAAGAAGCAAACTTCCTGCTTCAAGGATAGTCTCAGGGGACTTTTTTCTCCCTTTTCCCTAATGCATCTTATTTCCTTTTTCTAAAAGCTACCTCTCATCTGACCTGTCTTCCCCTAAAATTTGTGATGTTTGTGTATGGTCGGAGGGGTCCAATTTCACTACATTTAAAAATTTATGTGACAAATAAAGGCTTATCATTATCATCATCATCATCATCATCAAATAACACACCTGTCGTAAATGCAGAAACACAACTATGGTTGATGTGCTATTTGATGATTCAATTTTACATGTCCACGATTTTAAGTAAAATATTAAAAAGCAGGTCCGTAGTCAGCCAGGTAAAAGGGGTGGTTTCCCCCCCCCCCCCCCCCCCCCCCCCCCAAAAAAAAAAAAACTGGACCTTTTTAGGATTATTCAACTTGTTTTCATTTTAATTTTGAGATTTAAATACTGCATTTTTAAATACTGCAAGTTTTAAATTAAAAACTGTTAGGAAAAAAAAAACTGGCCACCCCATTCAACTTTTTTAGTCAGAATTTGGCCCTTTGAATAATAAAAATTAAAACATATTAATAATAATAATAAAATTATAATAATGTAGATCTTTAGACAAAATAGAATTTAAATATGGGCCTAAAAAGGAAATTGAAATGACAATAGTTTGTGATAAGAGCCCATGTCTTTAATTCCTAAAGTATCCCAGTAACAACACAAAACAAAATCCGTCTTCCTCCATACACACAAAATCAGTGATTACCTCTTTAATTTGCACGCTTTTATTAAAAATATTACCTTTAGAGTTGCAAAAGGAGACAAAAGTCATACACAAGTTTAAAAGGGCATGATGGTGAGTAAATAATACACTTTTCATCCTTTATCAAAATCTTAACATGCAGGGAGTCATCAGCATGACATGTGTATCATTAAAACTATTTCATTGTGAACTCCTACATTCCCATCCTAGCTGAAATGATTCTGGATGAGTTCCTGTCGAACTCTCAGAGCCTCTGGGTCATCAGTGTCAGATGGATCGATATCTTCCCCTGATTGGTCGGTGGCCTCTGTCCTCTCAAAGGTCCAGGCATCAAGGCCGGACTGCAGGGAAATGTTATGCAGCACACAACAGGCCTGAATTATATGAGAGCATTTCTCTGGGGAATACTGCAGGTAACCCTTCGCCCCATCCAAACACCGAAAACGTGTCTGAATGGCTCTAAATGTGCGGTCTACAATCTCATGCGTTGTTGTGTGAGCCAAGTTATAGCGGTAGTCAGCAGGAGACTCTGGACTCTGCACAGGAGTCATCAGCCACTTCTTTAGAGGATATCGGTTGTCACCTACAACAAAGGCGAGAGACAGAAAAAAACATTTCAGATTTAAACTAAATCACAGGATTCTTTAGCAATATCAAGAACAGGTTGCAGGTCTCACCTAAAAGCCAACCTTCATCATCATTCTCTTGCTCTTCAAACAGCTTTGCCACATTGGACTGCTTAAAGACCGCTCTGTCTGTCAAACTACCAGGCCAGTGTGTCTCAGCACTCAACAGCAGTCCTCTGGCATCACATACTAACTGGCAATTGATCGAGTGAAATCCCTTTTTATTTACATAGGAAGAGTCATCCGCATTGGGAGCTTTAATGGCTATATGTGCACAGTCCACAACTCCCGTCACATTAGGTATTCCTGCAATTCGGTAAAACTCATCTTTAAACTGCTGCTTGGTGGCCTCATCCCTAGTAAAGCCGATGAACTCTGGTGCTTTCTCGATCAGAGCTTTGGTGACGTTAGAAACGCAGCGACTCATGGAAGCCTGGCTGATGCCAATCGCGTCTCCCATCTTACTCTGGAAAGAGCCGGATGTATAGAATCCCAGGGCTGCAAGAATCTGAACATCTGGGCTAATTGCTCGCGACCGCTGTGTGCGTCTCAGCAAGCTATCCTTTAGCAGTTCCACCAGGTAATAAATGAACTCACGTGGGAAGCCAAATGTGTTCAGCAGAAAGTCATCCGACACGGTCTCGATATCAAATCGATCAAGAGTTTTGTGACCACGACCATGCAGAAGCAGGTCACAGTCTAGAATTGCAATAGAGAGTGCCATTCCACACACTCTGGAGGATCTGTGAATAAAGGACACACGTGAAGAGCAGTGAATGTCATGTAATATCATGCCAATAATGAAACCATGATACACACAATTATATTACTAGGACAAAGGTTTTCAATATTTTAGACCTATAGATATAATCCTCTGTGTGTGAGGAACCACATCCTAAAAATGTTTAAAGCATAGGTCTCAAACTGGATTCCTGGAGGGCCGCAGCTCTGCACAGTTTTTTTTTTATCTAACTCTAATAAAAAAACAGCTGATCCATCTAATCAAGGTGTTTAAAACTACAAGAGACTATTAAGCAGGTTTGAGTTGGAGGTTGTTGGAACTAAACTCTGCAGAGCAGTGGCCCTCCAGGAATTGAGCTTGAGACCAATGCTTTAAAGAGATCTATATAATTCCTTGTACGAAGATATTTAATTATGTGTAAATGTAATTTATATAAATGCAACAAAAATTAATATTTAGAAAACATTTAGTATCTATTAAGTGACATCATTGTTTTATTATTTAATACAGCAATTTTTATTCATTAAATCACATTTTAATTATTAATTTGAGACTAAATACCTTGTATTTATTTTATTCTTTTGTTAAAATTCGTTTGTTTGTTTTTTTGTCAAATCAAATGTGTATTTATTTTAAATCTTATTGCTGTATTTTATACTTTATCTTTTATAAAGATTATATAATTAAATCAAACTTGTTACATTTTAATTCATTTTATATATTTAATCAATTTTAATAACTTATTTTGTATTATACTATAATTGTATTAGTTATGAAATTCATTTTATTTAATTTTTTATGTTTTTTATCTTCACAAACCCCCTATCATTCCTGTTTGTACCAGACAACATTTCAACAATACATATGAACTAATAACCCAAGCGGTGCAATCAATGCAATAAAATGTCGTGCTTAATGTTTTTATGTCTTTATTGTGTGACTACTGTTTAACACAAAAACACTAACGTTATTTATCTCACATAAACTAAACTATGATCCAGTTTCCTGCCTGGTTTTCGAGCTATTTTTCAGAACGCTAAACGCAATCGACTCTTCATACTGTTTATCTAACGTTGAACAGAATATGCATAATTCGATAATCATTAAAGTACAGGAAACACTCAGTTTAATAAGGAATGAATAGATCATTACCAGCACCAGCGGTTGTTTGTGTACGCCGACATTAAAACACGACGTGACGACCATAACAAACTTCCCGGTAAAGATCTGCACTTTCGACATTTATGTAAGACAGTTTTGAAAATAAATTAAAAACAGGATATATACATATATTAAAATATATCACATAATATATGTGCATACTTTTATATTACGAGACTTATATATATATATCAATATTCATCTGAAAAATAACGAAAGTGTTGAATCAGTACAGACAATTCACATTTGTGACCCAGGCAAACAAGCAAAATAAACAAAAATGGAGCGCCCGTCAGTTTGTGACGTTGCGGTGCTAATATGTGATTAACTGAGGATACAGGACAGTTTAAGCTGTATTTTTTCTTTTCACATAATCAGCTACGGTGTATTGCACCGTTAACGTCATATTCTACGTGTTAACAGTTGAATCTGCACTCTGTGATGAGCTGTAAGTATGTGCGCGTTTTGCTAAGTCGTTAGCATTGACTGCACGGGCACACAAATGTAAACACACTACTGTTTTGGCTTTCAGACACAAACGGCAGGTTTCTGTTTCTTAAATATCGAGTCGGGCGAACTGTCAGTTGACAAACGCTATTATGAAGGGGTTTTCAGAGAGACTAACGTTAATGCTCTGTTGTTGTTTGACGACGAGCTGTGTGGGATGCGACAGCACTGATGACACTAAAGATATCAGCGAATTCGATTACTATTACTGTTAATGAAAGTAAAAGAGCAAGACAACCGTTTATTATGTATTTTACCATAGATGACAATATCTAACCTAGTGCATAAAATGTTCTCTCTTTTGTCGCTTAGTTTGCTTATAAACGTGAACAGTTAAAACTTAGATACTTAAAAGTTCATTTATTTATCTTCTCATGTCTGGACAGTGGTGATAATTATGTGTGTGTGTGTGTGTGTGTGTGTGTGTGTGTTTTGCATTGGTGTTTTGTCTGTGATGGGTTAGTGGACGCATTATTTGCATTTATAGTAATAAAAAGGATATTCAAGTGAAACGATAACTGCCACCAGAACAGGCACATGTGGCTCCAGTGGCATGATGTTATTATAGTAATATTATACTAATATAATATTATGTTATTTATTGTTATGTAATTAGGTGAGTTAGATATGCATTACAGAAATAACAAGTCCGTTTACCTTTCAGAATCAGATTTGTCTGTCATCAGTTATTCAAATATTCTATTAAATTGTCAACGTGTAGGTAAGAGTAGATAATATAAAGATATTTAGGCTAATGTTATAAAAGTACTAAGAAGGGTAGCAAGAAATAGGGAAAAGGTTTTGCTTCATTAAATTTTGTGTAAATGTAAATTGTTCTTAAGGAGCATCTTCCACTAGTAAATGTTCTGAATGGCTCTCTTTTTTAAATATGTCTATTCAGCTACTGTCTTGCTAATTGTTTGCTGTATCTCATTTCCTACTTTACTAAGGAAATTGTCTTTTATTTGTTTTAGGCTCGTGCGACAATGGATAGTGATCTGAGCCCACAGGACAAGAAAGACTTAGATAAATTCATCAAATTCTTTGCTTTGAAGGTGATTGCATTACAAACTAAAATGCAAAGATACGTTACAGCAGTCTGATATCGTAGTTAATCATGTCATGATGTCCTTTGTTTTACCTGTGTCTTTCAGACAGTGCAGGTTATAGTGCAAGCCCGGCTTGGAGAGAAGATCAGCACTTGCTCGTCTTCATCACCGACAGGTTCGGACTGGGTAAGAAATTTCAAGGATGCTCCTTACAAATGGACAATTTTTGTCTTTACTCCATAATTAACATGAGCTCTCCTGTGTTTTTCTGTTCTCTATCAGTTTAATTTGGCAATAAAGGACATCCCCGAGGTCACTCATGAAGCAAAAAAAGCTCTTGCTGGACAACTGCCTGGCATCGGGCGATCTATGTGTGTGGAGATCTCCCTCAAAACCTCAGAGGTCTTGTTTTGCTTTAAAACAATGAAAAATCAAAAGCAAAATATTGATGTTTAAATGCTTTAAGGATTTTTTTCACACCAGAATGAAAATCATAATTTTAAGTCATAATTTAGAATTTAATTCACACTCATATCAATGCAAACCCTAAACAAAGCTCAAATAAAGATATTTTACTCAAATCTAAGAGATTTCTGTCCACTTTTTAAAGTAGTTCTTAAAGTCTTTAAAATCTCCACAAGAAAATCAGAAAAAAAACAAATAATGTGTATCCTGAAAAATAACAAAAGACTAAAATGGAGTTTACCTGAGTATTAATACGCTTCTTTGTCAATGCAGGGAGACTCAATGGAGCTGGAAACATGGTGTTTGGAAATGAATGAGAAGTAAGAACCCTCAGATCCTCTACATAAGCTATCAACTGCTTTGTGTAAAGATTGATACATTGTTAACATATACCTAAACATAACAAGGTGTTGCATTTTTTCCAGGTGTGATAAGGACATTAAAGTGTCCTATACAGTTTATAATCGACTGTCTCTGCTGCTCAAGTCTTTACTGGCCATCACAAGGGTGACTCCTGCTTACAAGCTTTCACGTCAACAAGGCCATGATTATGTAATACTCTACAGGTAAACACACATTCTTATTCGCTCTTCAAGGCCCCATAATACGTATGTCATGGTTTCATACAGAGTAACAAAAATCATCTGTACAGCTTGACCTTGAAAGAGATCTTGAAACTTTATAACAATATTATTGCTATCTTGTTCAAGCTTTACACTATTATCAAATTAAACAGCTTCTACTACACTAAACTGACATGAGTTGCATAAACTGACTTGAACTTTTTAATAAATTTGTTTTATACTAGTGATGCTCTGAATTTTCAGCTGCTGAATATTATCCAAAAGAAAAAACGGCAAAAAATAAAAGCCAAAAAAAAAGGTTATGGTGTACTGAAGTGTTCAGCGCACTGGTTTTAATCTCCCACCAGCCAATTTTCACATCAGACATGGAAAGTTCTGCACTATGAATCCAATTAGTATTCCACTTTGTGGATATTCAATTTAAGAACCTGTATACTTTTCTATGCGTAAACCACACACTCACCGGAAAACCAAAGTTCACTCAAATGATGCGCTGACTAGACATTTCTGTGTTGTATTAATTCCTGCTGCTTGTCATAGAGCTACTGTGATGTAATGACAACACTTGTAAAATGACACCTCTATTTGTTGACTATCAGTAAAATGTGGTTATTTTACTAGCCTGTGTGTTTTTTTTTTAAATCAGTGTAATCTAAATTATTGAGTTAAATTACAAAATTCTTACAAATAATAATCACAAAAGCATTTTCGTTTTCAGCCTAGAATGTTCATTTCACTTTGTATACTGTTACAGTACTTATACCCTGTTTTATACCTAATCATGTTTTATACTTTGCAACATTCACACTGTTATTGAACTTAATCAAGGTTAGCTGAATAATGACACTTGCTTTGTTTATAGCTGCTTTAAAGCAAAATTGTATTTTAATGTAACCTTTTTAAATTATCTTTTTCTTTTTTTAACAGGATCTATTTTGGAGATGTGCAACTGACAGGTCTTGGGGAAGGTAAAAACACGAGGCATTTTCTCCAGAATACTAATAAAGGACATTTGGCTGTTTTATAGCCAGCTGTTTATTTGTTCATGTTTTTTATCCTCTCTTCAGGCTTTCAGACAGTGCGAGTGGGTATTGTTGGCACTCCCATTGGCACCATCACTTTGTCTTGTGCATATCGCACTAATTTGGCTCTTGTGTCTTCAAGGTATAAATGACAGATTCCTGTATACAATGCAATAGTTTTGTATTCTGGTTTTGTAGTGGTGTTATGAAAGATGTTGTCTTTGTGTTGTCTCACAGACAATTTGAGAGAACAGGCCCTATCATGGGTATTATCATTGATCATTTTGTGGAGCGTCCCTTCACTAATATGGCACACACACATCCCTGCAGCTACAGGTTTGTAACAACAAACAAGGTGTGTTTGGAAAGTGATCGATTAAATAATTGCTCAATGAATGTATTTATTAATTTACTACCATGCTATTTTTTATTATATTTTTAAAAAATGGTATATTAGAATAATTTCTGAAGGATTATGTGATATTAAAAAGGAAAAATGTAAACTCACACTCCTAAATTACATTTGAAAATATATTAATGTATAAATTCTCTCTTTAAATTTGATTAATATTTTGCTGTATTAATATTGCCTTTTTTCTATTTAAAAATTATTATTATTATTATTAAAAAAAAACAATTGAAATTTGTACCATAGACCCATCTAATGATATCATCTATGTAGTGCATTTAAGAATATTTAAATATTGTTTTTTCCAATCACACAAGATGATTTTGAACTATAATTTTCAGTGATTCTCTTCTGCATGCTGATAGTACATACTGGTAATTCTGCTCTCTTAACCTCTGTCCTCATACTTTTGTTTTCTCATTTCTCTCTGTCTCAGAGCACCTGGGGAAGATGATGGAGGGACTTACGCAGGGATAGAAGACTCTCAGGAGGTCTGCACCACATCCTTTTCCACCTCCCCACCATCACAGGTAATGCCATTATTAACACCTACCCTTCTGTCCTAACAAAACAACTTTTCACTTCCTTCCTTGTACAGGCCAGGCCTCAGTAGAGGTGTAGTGCAGCCTGTCATTACAACATTAGTTGTTCAACTATCACAATCAGTAAGCTGTTTGCTTTCAAGAATCTTTTTGGCAGTTCCCCGATGAACTAGACTTTTGATTAACAAGACTCTTTCTTTTTATGATTTTATTTTATTGTTGTTGTTTGTTCAATCATTAATATGAACTGTGACTGCTGTCCTTGTGTTTTCACAGTGTTATATATAATAAATTAAATATATATATATATATATATATAAATGTATATAATATATAAATGTATATATATATATATATAAATGTATATATATATATATTAAAATTAAAATAATAATATTATTAATAATGTTAAAATAATATCACTAGTCTTTGTGTACTT